AATTTAAATGAAGGCACCCTCTCTACGCAGTCCCCGTTAATAAGGGGGGCGTGGTCTATGCTGGTTCTCCTGAAATCGATAATAATTGATGATTTACTGTCACCAGTCAAAGTACTGCATTTAGGAACAGAGTGAAGTGCTGGTACTTAAAGCACCACAAAGTAAAGCACTGGCGGACTGGCCATCGGGACGTTCGGAACGAATCCCGATGGCTGGTGCTGAAGTGGGTCGGTCGAGATGCCCGGGCTGATTTCTAGTCCCAGTCCGCCCCTGATGTAAAGTATTAGTGGGTCAAGCACTGGTAGTTAAAGGTCTTATCGTAGTCGAACAGCACTCTGAAGAGAGAGACCCTCGTTAAATCACTCAAACACAGACATGCGGGGGGGCCGGCTCCTCTTATATAGCCGTTGAGGTCCTCACCTGACGTACAGCGACCTCTTCTGATTGGTCCTCAGAGATCCAGACCCTGAACTGATGCTGCTGTTCATCATCTGCTCCCTCAGGTCGTGGATCTTAGCCTCAAACCTGCTGTACTCTGAGGAGGAGGAGGAGGAGGAGGAGGAGGAGGAGGAGTACATCTTGATTCCTGCAGACCGGTTTAACCCCAGAATAATAAATGTTAAACATGAACATGTCGTCTCTCACCCTCCGGCCTGTAGGTGGCGATGATGGTCACCGTCTGCCCGGCGTTCTTCAGGGCGGCGGCCGCTTGCTCATGGGTCGCATTCCTGAGATCCACCCCGTTCACCTGGAGACACACAGACCATAATATCAGAGCATAGATATGACACTTCACAGGTGTAAGGAATAAATCAATATATATATATACACACTAAACACACTACGTCCAACTCTCACTTATTGACATTGTATGATCACTCGCGGGAGAAGAACCAAAGCCACGTCATCGAGGACTGTGAAGGAAGACCCGCCCCCGCCGCGCTGTGAGTGTGTATATATGTGCCTGTGAGTGAGTGAGTGAGTGAGTGAGTGAGTGTGAGTGAGTGAGTGAGTGTTTGTGTGTGTGTGTGTATATATGTGCCTGTGAGTGAGTGAGTGAGTGAGTGAGTGAGTATATATGTGCCTGTGAGTGAGTGAGTGTGTGTGTGTGTGTGTGAGTGAGTGAGTGAGTGAGTGTGTGTGTGTACGTACAGACACCAGTCTATCTCCTTTCCTCAGCTCTCCACAGAGGTCAGCTGGTCCTCCAGCGAGGATGAAGGAGATGAAGATGCCCTCTCCGTCCTCCCCCCCCACGATGTTGAAGCCCAGCCCGGTCGCTCCTCTGTGAAGGACCACCTTCCTGGGCTCCCTGTTGGAGGAGACACCTGTCAATCATCTGACCTCACAGCTGTCAATCTCAGTGGCGTTGCCTGGCCTGGCCCCGGCCAATTCCCCCTCAATAATATAATACATTAACCGTGCTTCACCTGAACCTCATCATGACACTAGAGAGGACGGCAGGACTGTAACTTCCCGTGTTCAGTGAATGCAACAGAGGCAAGACCAACCAGAGAGTTGCATGGAAATACAGTACAAGTAGGGGTGTAACGGTATCCGTATTCGTCCCGTACCGTCACGGTTCGGCACATGCAGTCACACGACGAATATGCCTTTTTTTTAAGAGTGGGAAAACGGTCTGTCATTCAGGGCAGTATCCATTACAATATTTATAATCCAGGGGGCGGTATTGCGCCTAAAAGCTGTCTGCCAGCCGCCCTTAAACAACAAATGAAGAAGAAGAAGAAACGCAACAACAAAACGAACAAAATACAAGAAGAAGAAAAGTTAGTAAGGCGATTTCAGATAACACACAGGAGCTAGAACCCACCTGCTTCTTTTCAATCAGCTGTGGGAACACTTCGGGTTCCCTGTGGACTACAATAACGATGGAGTGCGAGTGGTGGATCGGACGAGGACGGTGTGTCGGCGTTGTTAGACAGCGGTGCGGTATGCTAATGTAACACACGGCAAACACGCTAAATCATATCAGAAGGCATCGCTATGGAGCTCATTAACTCCACAAACAAACCAAACAGGTTTTACAAATGCCTCATGATTCACTAACAAACACAATGTGGTTTGAAAATACAAAACACTGTTCCATGCTCTGCTCAACCTCCCGGCGGGAGGCTCCCGCCTTCCCCAATGGACTCAGTAGCGCCCCCTGCTGCCGTGGAGCATGTGACAGCCACGGCGGAATATTACTGCCAAAATTCACGTGACTCACTCACGTGACTTTTGGCAGTAATATTCCGCCGTGAGAAGAAAAAGTTTTTTATTTGTAAAAAAAAGTAGTGTACTTGTAAAACCTAAGCTGAATTTGTCTCTGAAACATGATTTATTAGAAAAATGTTATGTGTTTATTTGATAGATACGTTTTTTCTTTGCAAAACTAAATGCATTAGTTTGTAGATGGTGTTTTGTATTTTCAAACCACATTGTGTTTCTTAGTGAATCATTTGGCATTTGTAAAACTGTTTGGTTTGTTTGTGGAGTTATGGCAGGAAATTAGCTCCAGACATCACCCAGATTTGCCAATCACTGGAGCCCGGCAAAAGACAGCAGCAGTTCAACAGCTTATCCCCGCTGTTTTTAAGAAGCCAAGAGACATGAAAGCCGAGAGACCTAAATAAATAACGGAAGCTTTTGGCATATGTTTTTCAACGACTTTGCGCTCTTGAAACACTTTCTTGATATTAGCTTGATGAAACCTTTTTGTTTGACATCAGCCATTATAGATAATATGGCCATCTGAGTGTGTGTGGTGCTGTTTGTGGTTTGTTTTTAACTGTTTAATACAGTTAATTATTCAAAATGTCAGAGTTCCTTATTTTTAAACTGAAACTTGCCCTACTGTTTAAACCCTCCGGAAAAACGCGGGCTAAAATCCTTGATTATGCGATAAAACATGCGGGGTTGTATGTGATTTTATGCGGTGAAACTGCGGGAAGTTGTGAAATATGCGGGAAAAAATTATCGATTTTTTTTAAAATATTGGGCTGTCTTATTTATTCTCTCTCACACACAACCTGCCACTAACGTTAAACCCCTTTCCTATTCAATTAAACACATTCAATGTTTATTTAATGTAAAAGCAATTGGGCTATTTTAATCTCACGCACACACACACAAACACACACACACACACACACACACACACACACACACACACACACACACACTTCTCCGCCTCATTCTGTTTTCATTTACTCGTTCGTTATCTGACCAGCTTCAATCTTGTAGGCTACTCACCTCGTTTCTTGTAGCCCTCGAAAGGGTTTTGGAGGTTGATCCCTCGGTGAACGTGAGTTGTTTGGCTTTCTTGTCCGCAGCAGCAGAAAGCATTTTCGAATGTTTGAATGAATCAAAGTGGGTCGCCACCGTCGATGTTCTCTTATGCTCCAACACACAGTTGCACGGGGTGCAGAATAGTTTCCCCCCACTTTTTGCCCGGTCTTTAGTAGAAATGTTCGTCGGTAAATGAGATGGATTAG